TGAGACAATACAGAGCGGCGAAATAATTGTCTTAAGTGATTTACTTTGACGAGTTTCATCTCTTAGGCCATTTAGCAATCAGATAATGTTTTGAGCGAAACTTGCACTTCTATCTGTTTTTTACAATCAGTGTCCCCTAAATTCAGACTTGCTCCCTGAAGTCAGACATTGTGTTGTATTTCACTGTTATCGCCTCCAAATCCATGATGCGTTAAAAAAATTTAACTTCTATGGGTTTGCTGAAAAAGTACGACCACCAAGATTTCATTTCTGCCAAAAAAATAAACGTGTGAGTCAAATTGCTTCCTCCCGAAATTCCTGAAATTTGTATTTTTAGCTCCAAAAAACCGGCGTTTTTAAATGTGTCTTGTCAGAATTTAGGGCTCCGAACAGTGTAAGTTCGGTTCATGCTGACCACAACATATGTGAAACTTAGTACTTTTAGCTACAATATGACACCACGTTTCTGTTTTTTCGTCGCACGGCTCAGTTTTGGGAAGCGGTTTTGCAATGCGCCCCAAAGTCGGACATAGGCTTTTACATGCAAAAGTAACTGCTGTCCGGATCAAGGACCCTTTAAGCGACTGTAAAAGCGATCTTTCCGCTGTTCTGGAGGCCAATCTAGACCAGATTAAGACAATTTAGAAGGTAGCGTAAGGTCAAATTTTTCCATGAAGTTTCTGTTCTACCCAAAAGATTTTCACTTTCATAATTTTTCAAAGCTGTCCGAATTTAGGACGCATTGGTTCCTAAATACGGACACGATTCAAACAGCTCTCACCCCTATAGGATCAGCGCTAAAAATGTTTTCGGATAGTGGTAGGTGCGTCACGACGTGAGGATTCTAGAATCCCCAGAGATTTTTCATATTTCAAAAATTACACGAGATACGGGCGCATTTCTTAAAAAATCGTCCGAATTTAGGGACACTGATTGTACCGACCCTGCTTAATTGTAGTTTGTTTTGAGCTCTGCCGCAACTTTTTCTTCAATATTTTAGGTGTTACCACTCTGACGTGGGAGGAGAAAAGCCCTGCATAGTCCTGGGTGATCTTGGCGTTGACAACTTTACCATGGCGGATAGGCGCGTGCCACTCGACGTGAAACACTGCCGCCTCGCCTTGTCCCAGCTCGCACGGTACCATGGAGCAGGGCTGGCCCTGCGTCACCTCAAGCCGGACGAATTTCAGTACATGGCAGACACACTGGGGGCCTCATATGCCAACAAAGAAATGCTCGAAGCATTTCAACACTTCTTTACGACAATAGAGAACGCAGCTGGTGAGTAGCAGCATGAGAGTGTTGAAATCCAGTAAGCACAAAACGGATTTAGGTTGGCAACAACCGACTGTACATAGAAATGTTAGTGTGTAAGAGTTGGTCACTGTATATATCCTGTAGGCTAAGAAGAAAAAGAAAAATAAAACCACTTCCGTGTTGACCACCACAGAGAAAACATGTGTGTTATTCCCAAGCCTAAAACCTGAACAATTATCCAGATAAATCGTAACGTTCAACA